AAAAAGGGTTGTAACTGTCCTGTCTGAGAAAAGTGTATAAAGTGTGTGGTGAGGGGTTTTACACACTTAAAACAGATACAATAATTGTAAAAAAATAAAGCTGACTACTTGGCAGATTTTGATTATTGCAGGTTATTTTTAGAAGGTAACCCCTGCGATAAATGAGGGACCTGATAAAAAAAAAATGAAATTATAATATGAGTAATAAATCAATTTGCCAGCTCATATGTCTATCCTGGTGAGCATTTTTTAGGTCAAGGTGAAAATGAAATGAGCATTCGGCCATTTACAAGTCAAAACTAAAGCAGAACAACAGAATCATGGGAATCAAAATCAGTAGTATATGTGTATGTAGGCATAGGTGATAGAAATTCAGTGGCAAATGTAAATATGTCATATAAATACTTCCTATAAATGGGCCATGACAACTTTTGAGAATTGCCTCATAGTTGTCAAGTTGTGGGGGGCAGAGGGGCTGGGGGCCGGTCAAAGGGACGTGGCGGGCCGGAGTCAGTCCGCGGGCCTTAGTTTGATGACCCCTGTTTTAGAATAATGAATTAGAATAGAATTGCCGTGGGGGAGCGTGGGTGGCGTAGGCTTGTGGGTGGAGTATTGATCAGAATTGTGTTTGAATTGGGCCCAAGGAAAGATCGCTAGATTACTCAAACATGCATGGAGGGCATCAAACTCCCTTCGTCCACTTCTTTACACAGTCTCTGCTCTTATCTCTGTCATTACTGGGCCTATCCACATGAGACAAAAACTGGCACAAATATCAACGTCTTCTCTGTCTGTATAAATAAACAAAAGTTAAACGATATTTTCACAAAAGCGTCAGAAAGTGGTGCCATAATTCAACCTCAAATATGTGATCGCTGTAAGATTTACATGGACATTTGTGAAGCAAATCTCTAACAAATAATGAGAAGGTTCAACATTTGTGGATCATACACACAGAGCACTATTATAACACAATAAATGTACAGTTTTGTTTGTCATGTTTTAGAATATTTATGAAATTATTTATGAAATTACTGAAGCAAATCACAAATTAAAGCCGCACACGACGCGCCCCACACTAACACGAATATGTGTAAACCATAAGTTTAAAGGGACAGTTCAGAATTTTGGACACAGGGCCTCATTTCCTAGTGAGCCAAAGTGTTGGAGACACTTTTGAAAAAAAAATCCAGTCCTTGTATTTGCAGAGGTCGCTGGTGTTAGGCTAGTGCATGTCAATGGCCATAGTTATCCTGCCACTAAAAACACCCAAAACAAAACTATTATAACACCAGACTGTCAATATAAATGTCTGTGTTAATAGAATAATGTTTGAAATAAAACTAACCTTGCATCGTATGAATAGTCGCATGTTGAGGGACTATTTTCTCATATATCAGTCCATCGCTGCCAAGCTTTCTATCAGTAAGTACAACTCGCTGCTTTGCTCACACATAAATTCTTCAAATGCAAGGTTGGTTTTACTTCTAAAATTATTCCTTCGACTAGGGATGGGCATTCAATGAATTTTTCTTAATCGATCGTCAGAATAATTAACGATAGATTATCGATTAATTATTAACATTTTTATATTAAAATTATCATCATTATTATTACTAGCTGCACTACTAATCTGCATAAATAAACTCAACTTTACGACATATAAACTGTAACCACTCTAGAGCCACATCAATCCGTTTGACATTATAATGTGTTTAATTCAGTTTTGCACAACTCTCACAGAAACTAAACTTAAAACTGCATCGCTAATTTGCATAAACTAAGCGAAGATTAAAAAAACAGCTCTTGTGCGCTGATGCCGTCAATTTCCGTCGGAATAAAAGACATGACTCAGTGGAATACAGGTTAGTGCAGGGGTGGGCAAACTACGGCCCGGGGGCCGTATGCGGCCCTTTAAACCTTTTAATCCGGCCCGCCGAACTGGAATAAATTACAATAATAAAACTTGTTGTTTTATTTGTCATGCATTTCCAGCGTTTCCCAGTAGATGGCGCACTATATATACATTGAGGGGTGGTGCATTAGGTTGGCCGCAATGCTTTATGGGAAAGTGTTCTTACAGGAGTTATTCGGACCATGAGTGAAGTAGTTGGTGCTTAAAATATAAGACTGCACTGCTTCCCATTTGAATTAGTAAAAGTCAATTAAGAAAACATATAGTCTCCGAGCTATAATTAATAATGTGCACAAGGTTTCCGTGTCAGGATTAGCCGCACTCACTGGTGTGTGTTTGTGGTTGATCGGCGTGATCTTAGGTTATGAGCTGGTAGTAGTCATATTTGTAAACCATGAACTCACGATATACTTACACTCGGTGTGCAGTGGAACATGTCTTAATGGATTATGCGTTCTCAGTCTTTCACAGCAGTGATGAAACATCTGAAGTCTTAAATAATTCTGAGCTCTTATCAAGTTACATCCTGTCTTCTGTCTGGCCCCTCAGCGGCCCGCGAGCCAGGACGTTTACCCACCGTCTCACAACATGAGCGTTAATTAATAGTAATCCTATATCAAAGCTCCCAAAACCCTGTCCTGATCAGAACATATAATCTGATATATACAGAGTTCAAACTTTTCTTTAGAGTATACTTTCAGTTGAACCAGTGCAGCTTTATATCTTGAACACTTCTACCTGACTTATGGTCCAAATACGCCGCCCGGAAGAATACTTTCCCATAAAGCATTGCGGCCAACATAATGCACCGCCTCTTAATGTATATATAGTGCGCCGTCTACTGGGAAACGCCGGAAATGCAGGAAAACATTAAGGGTAGGTGCATTCATGGATCTATTAAAATAACTGGATACAGTATTGCTAGCTTGTAGCTGCCTCCAGTTGACGTAGTGGCCACTCACTGGAACTTCAGCAGAAAAGTCCCGTGGGCCGAGACAAGATTTTTCTCATAGAGCGCAATATAATCACAAATTGCTCGTGTTCGTCTGACAGGTCACCTACAGCTTTCAAAATTATCGGATTTGTTGGCGATTTTTACCTATTTTTAGATCATAAACTTTTTCTCGCTCAAAATCCTTGAGTTGTCTTAAAAAAACGCTTTATAATCGTTAGCTTCGGCTACGCTCTGGTCTGCTCTAGTTCCTCTCGCTCTGATTGGTCAAAGCGATCACGTGATACACGAGCCCGCGCTCCGTGCGTGTGGTCGCATGCATTCGCGTGTGCCCGTGGGAGAAAAGAGCACTACTGCGCATGCTCGGTCGGCCCACGGCCACCGGAAGTACCTAGCCATGCTAGGCTAAGCTGGGATCATGCGCCATTGAGCTCAGCCCATTGACTTGAATGGACGGCCATTTTGGAACCTGGGGGCTTGGGTGCATTATGTTGGCCGCAATGCTTTATGGGAAAGTATTCTTTTGGGCGGCGTATTCAGACCATGATGGAGGTAGAAGTGTTCAAGATATAAAGGGGCATTGTCTCTTTCATATGGTGATAATGCTAAGTCTGTGAGGGTTCAGATGCAATGTTAAAATTAATACTGATTATGTACAGCAGAGGTAGTCCCATTTTGGTGAATGCACACATGAGAAGACACCGTGGAGTAGACACTGCTTTATTTGGTAATATGATCTAACCGCGCAGGGCTAATGTTCTCATGTGGTGTGTGGTGGAGCAGACCTCATTCACTCCTCATGCGTTCTGAAACTTCTGCGTCTCCAGAAGTTGCAGCGCGTAGTGTCAAATACGTTCTACATGAGCGTAAATACGAGTGCAATGGAGCCGGGCTCTTAACACGTTCTGCGTCCTCTCCGGCCCTTCAGTCAATTTTTAGAACCCTATATGGCCCCTGAACCAAAAAGTTTGCCCACCCCTGGGTTAGTGTGACCATATTTGCGTTTGTCAAAACCAGGACACCGTACGGGGGGAGGGAGGTGGGGACTCGTCATCAACATTGCACGACTCTCACCTGGCAAAGCTTTTTCCCACTGGACACCGACACATATGTTCCTGCTTTATGCCTCACACTTGTCGCATACGCATTTGCGCTTTGGTATGTTGCAGGCTGACCGACTGTTTGTTTTTGCTCGCTCCTTCTGAGTGCAGAGAACTACATGTCCAGACCCCTGTTTGGTCACGCTACACACAGCAACCTACATTCGGTTTGTCGATTAAAATTAATGTAATAGATGAAATTCTTAATGATCAATTATCAATTAATCGACTAATCATGCCCATCCCTACTATCAACACAGACATTTACATCGATAGTCTGGTGTTATAATTGTTTTGCTTCGGGTGTTTTGTGGAGTGGGTAAGACTGTTTTTAGTGGCAGGCTAACTATGGCCATTGACCTGCACTAGCCTAGCACCAGTGACCTCTGCAAATACAAGGACTGGATGGAATATTTAAAAAAATGTCTCCGCACGTCTCCAACACTTTGGCTCACTAGGAAATGAGGTCCTATGTCCAAAATTCCGAACTGTTCCTTTAACTCCTAGCCCTAACCTTAACGGTAGGCCCAGTCCTAAACGTAACCCTAACTTTAAACCTAACCCTAGTTGTAACCCTAACCCTTCCAGTTTTCCAAATTTTGCACATGTTAATAAAAAAATAATAATAATAATAATAAAATTTAAAAAAAAAAAATCAAAGATGGCGAACTTCTGGTTTGGCCACCCAGGTCAACACATCCTCCTCTAGAAAAATTACATAGTGCACCTTTAAATGTTGTTAATGAAAAGACTCGACATTTGTGGATCATAACTTTGGAGATTTCTTTCAAAAATAATGAATCTCTCGTAAAGTTACATAGGCACTGCCCTCAATCTGAAATTATGATATCACCAAATTACAAAACTTAAACAATACCTATTCCGCCATTTTTGTAGTTTTTTAATCGATTTGAGCAAAAATCTTATTCTATTCATTGCACAGCCCTACTTGTTAACACTTAAAAATCAGTTAAGTGGATCAATAGCACTTTGCACTAAACAAACACTGGAACAACTGTCCCTCTTGGCTTACCGTAGAGGATGGTCACCATGGAGACGGGCATCACCAGGATTCCGAGCAGCATGTCGGCGACCGCTAACGACATCAGGAAGTAGTTTGTGGCGTTTTGTAGTTTTTTCTCCAAAGACACGGCCAGAATCACCAGAATGTTCCCCATGACGGTCACGGCAATCACGAACAGAATCAACAGCGCAGACCAGTTTTTCTCGATGTTACACTGAGTTCCAAAAATGCGAGCGTCAGTGTCACTGGTGTTGGTGTAAAAAGTCAAGTTTGAAAGGTCCAGGTGGTTATGACAGTTTGTGGGACGGGTTTCGTTTTGCAAATCCAAAATTTTCCACGATTCTTGAAAATTGTTGGTTGTAGGAGACGATCCAGTGACTAATTCGGAATAATTTTGAACATTTTCGAAACTCATGTTGGCAATGAAAATGTCAGTATATGTTTACGATTTCTTTTGAGATGTTCCAATTATATCTTAACAAATGTAAAAAAAAAAAAAAAAAGAAAGAAAATAAATAATATCATGAAAAGAAGATTTTGCAATGTCTTAAATATTTGTGAAAATTTCAGACAAAATTTTCACATCAAAATTTTGAATCAAAATGTCAGATTAAAATTTCAAATCAAATCTCAGATTAAAATTTCAAATCAAATCTCGGATCAAAATTTCAAATCAAAATTTTAGATTAAAATTTCAGATCAAAAATTCTAATCACAGTTTCAAACCAAATTTTGAGGTTGTTTTTGATTTTGAATATGACCTCCAAATGTATATCCTTTGTGTATTTTCGGTTATACTTCAAAATTAGACTTTTGGATTGTACCAAATAAATACATAAAAATAAAAATGCTACATTTTAAATGAATTTCCAATCACTTCATTAAAATGAGTCTTGCTGTAAAAATATTTCAATCCACAGAGGAATTGTCCTTATGTTCTTCAAAATGAAGCAGATTTCATGTCACTATTTCCCCAAGTGAAATTTAAAAATAAACCGCAATAAATCAACACCCCCGCTCAAAATGTCTGAACGAATAATCCATCAAGACCTGGATTAGACCTAGTTTAGACCTAGTTCAGAATCAGACCTAGTCCAGACCTGGTTCAGAACTGGTTCAGAATCAGATTTACTCCAGATTTAATCCAGACCTAGTGCAGATTTGGTTTAGTCCTGGTTTAGACCTGGTTTAGATCTGTCTTAGTCTTGGCTCAGTCCTGGTTTAGAGCTGGTTCAGACCTGGTTTAACCCTGATTTAAACCTAGTCCAAACCTGGTTCAGACTTAATCCAGACATGGTTTAGTCCTGGTTCAGACCTGGTCCAGACTTGGTCCTGATCCTCTGGTCTCAAAGGGAAAATATAAATACCCTGTTCCTCTCGGCTGTTGCAGGTCAAATGAAAATAGTTGATCCTTAAAATGTCTTTGAGCCAATATTTCCAGCCTGAAGAAATTAATTCCCTCTAGATTTTCTGGCAGATTGGTTCCATTTTAAAATAGGTTTGAGGTTTCACACTGAAGAACAGATCAGAGAGTCCAAAATACTATGATTGTACAATGACTTAAATCGACTGGTCCAAAAAAAACCAAAAAAACACGGTTGATTCATTTGGGATATTGCAGTCAGTTCAAAAGTAAATTCTTCTCAAATTCTTCAGTTAATCTTGAACAAAATTTTGGTTTTCTTCTCAGTCAGTTCATCTTTATAATGTCTTTCATTGAGCATAAATGTTCAGATAAATTAAGGAATTATTTTGAGGTTTACTGAAAAAATATCACCTTCAGAATTACAAATTTGACTGTAAAATTCTAAATAAATTTATATTAAATCTATACAATATATAATATATATATATATAATATAAATATAGATAATATACGTTTCTTGGTTTTACTTCAAAACAACCAGATTAAAAAATAAATAAATAAAAATCTTAAATATGGCAAAAATTATAGACTAGAGGAGCTTGCTTTCCAAACAATTTTCAATTTCCAAGATATATTTTCTTCTTGAATTCTTGAACTGATCCTCTTCAGAACAGTCATCTTGATTTTTAGTCACAAATACATTTCCCGAAATTGTCCAAAATTTGCAGTTCAGACTTGGAAAACTGTTCAACTCGGAATTTCTGTGTTTTCTTTGCAATATTTAAACATCTGAAAAACCAAAAGTTCAAAGTTTTAATCCATACGAGGTAGATTTCTTCTTTCTGTCTGTAAATGATAAGGTCCATAAAATGCAATGTCTTCAATTCTATAACTGTTCAAATTCATCCAACTTAAAATCATAAATTCAGCGAAGTGAAATTCCTCTTCCAAATCACCAATTTTTGAATTTCACCCAAAACATGTTACGCTAAATTCCCACAAACATTTCACATTTCTTCCAAATCTTGCTGTATTGAACGTAATCCCATTCGCTTTTTGCCTTTCCCAAAATGAATCTCAAAGACGTTAACATACCTCAAGACAGAAAATAGAAAATTCCGTTTCTGGATGCATAGTTCGTCGCCGGCTTCCAAAATTATCCGCTTGAAAAATTACATATTGAAGAAATCCCTCTCCAACGTCACTGTGAATCCAAAAATAACCACCGTAACTTCTTAATCACAAGTGCCCAAGGTTTTCATTTTGGTTTTGCAGTAGGAGTACACGCAGTAGAAGCAGCAGTAGTAGTAGTAGTAGTAGTATGCCATCAGTAGTTGCAGTAGTAGTAGTAGTAGTAGTTGTAGTTGTAGTATTTGCTGGCTGTAGCTGTGGATGGTTGCGTGTCCTTTCTCTGTCTGCTTCTGTCTGCTTCTTTGAGTCGGCTCCCTCCCCCCTCACTCTCTCTCTCTTTCTCTCTCACTCTCTCATTCTGTCTCTCTTTCTATCTCTCTTTCTTTCTCTCTTTAGGTTTTTGCATGTCGTTAAGCAGAGATGCAATAATAATGAAAGAATATTCACCTGTTATTGTATTAAATGAAACCAGTTTTATTATAGAGCACATTTCAAACAGCGGTTACAAAGCAAGTACAATGATCAAGGTCCTGTATGATGCTGTATGACAAAGGTGTTGAAAATCCTCAGAATTCTGCACACAACAAACACATTTTTCTGATACTTTAACTATGACTTCAACAAAATAAATGTGTTTTCTATTCATCTTATTTGTCAAATTATCATTTCTGTGTACATTAGAGGTGTTATGGTTGCTAGAGAGCTGTTGTATTATTCCATAGTGTGATGCCATGATTTCCAACTAGGTAGTCAAATTTGAAAGCTTAAAAGTGGTCAAACTGGGGGGAAAAAATGTACATTTTTAGTAAAACGTTAAATGTCTTAACAGTGTTTACAGTCCAACTTGTCATAGGACATGTTATAAGTTTAAGACATGTTATAATGTTGTTGCCTCTTCAAAAACAGACCTGGATTTGGTTTTGTTGAATGACGTGTGAATGAAATAAAAGACAACTCCAGGTCTGTTTGCAATGAGGAAACATCATAACATAGATCAGAAAATAGCCTACAATGGGCCTTTTAAAATACAGTGAAAAACATAATTTAATAGATTAAGACCTCTCAAGGGAGGCGCCCAGGAGGAATCCGGAACAGATGCCCGAACCATGTCAGCTGCTCTTCTCAACCTGGTGGAGCAGCGGCTCTACTCCGAGCTCCTCCCATGTGATTGAGCTCCTAACCCTATCTCTAAGGGAGCACCCAGCCACCCTGTGGAGGAAACTCATTTCGGCTGCTTGTATCTTGAACTTGTCCTTTTTGTCATTACCCAGAGCTCATGACCATAGGTGAGAGGAGGAACGGAGACTGAGCTGTAAATCGAGAGCTTTGCCTTTCGGCTCAGCTCCCTCTTCAACACAACGCCCCAATACAGCGACCGCATCACTGCAGACGCTGCACCGATCCACCTCTCACGCTCCATCCTCCCCTCACTCGTGAACAAGACCCCGAGATACTTGAACTCCTCCACTTGAGGCAAGAACTCTCCACCTGCAGAGGGCAAGTCACCTTTTTCTGGTCGAGAACCATGGCCTTGGAGGAGCAGCACTGGCAGAGTCCAACATGCACAGGTCTGACTTACTACCGGTAATGTGAACACAGCTCCTGTTCCAGTCATACAAGGACCGGACAACCCTTAACATAGAGCCCCAGACCCCAAACTCCCAGAGCACCCCCCACAGGACACCACGAGGGACACAGTCAAATGCCTTCTCCAGATCCACAAAGCACATGTGGACCGGTTGGGCAAACTCCCATGAACCCTCGAGCACCTGATGGAGAGTGTAGAGCTGGTCCAGTGTTCCATGTTCTGCGGCCAGGATGAAACCACACTGCTCCTGCTGGATCCAGAGTTCCTCTCCAGTGTCCTGGAATAAACCTTACAAGGGAGGCTGAGGAGTGTGATGAAATTTTCACTTCAGTTGCACTTACTGTTTTTTGGGGGGTTTTTTTTTGATACAAATCTGTTTTTTCCCTCTATAATCTCTGTTTCAGTGTTTCCCATCAAATCAGAGTCAGATCTTAAACCTCTCAGTCAGATCTTAAACCTCTCTCTCTCTCCTTTCTCTGTCGCTCTCTTCTTTTCATTCTCTCTCTTTCTCTTTAGCTCTTTACACCTTGTTAAGCTACAATCATAAAAGAAGCTTGTATTAGAGGCTGGATGAAATTTCCCTTTTTATCACATCGTTTTATTAAAATGAAAACAGAAAATACACCTCATTTTATTTTTGTTCAGACATTTTGGACATTTTCTGTTCTGTTAACCCGGGTCTTATCAATAACACCACACTTATCAATAGACCATACACCATGTAAATATCTAACCCGAGAGCATGGGCACGCTTTCAGCTCCATCAACTCTGGCTCCAATTGAGTTTACACTGAAAAAATGTCATCTCTCTCAGAATTTACAGAATAGTTTAGATGACCATATCAAAGCTTGTACTAACTTGGTGCATTTCAAAAAACAATATAAAAATCGAATCTTACAGAAATACATAGAAGACCAGATCCATTGTCTTCACAAATAAACCATGACTATGAGAATTTTTTTGGTTTTATTTATGGTCGTAACATTTTTTCATTCTCATTGTGGTTTATTTTGTATGATCATAAACGATAAACTTTAAACAGCTTTAAAAATGAAGATAAGAACTAAGAAAAAAGTGACAGAGGGATTAGTACATGAAGTGATCATTTAAAAAAAAAAGTCTAATACTGTAGAAGCCTTTAAAAAAGAGTATAAACTTTTATGTGTACTCAGCATTTGACCCATCCTTCAATGTCTCTCAATTAAACCTGCATTTGACCCATCCTTCAATGTCTTTGGGTTATTAAAAAAAAAAAAAAAAAAAAAAGCTTTTTTTTTTTTTTTTTTTTTTTAAATGAAGATAAGAACTAGGGGAAAAAAGTATCAGAGG